GCCACTCTAAATGTTGGGCCGGAGACTTTTTTTTGCACATCATTGCAAAATGACTTGGCCGAGGAGTGCGGCGCGGCACAGCTGCCCCTGATTTTTACAGATGACCTGATGGGAATAACGAAGGGATTAAATGATGACAAATAGTCATTATCTTTTAAATTGAAAAATTAAAGAAAGAGAATTGATTTAAAAACATTGATTTAGCAAAAATCTGATCAAATATAAAAAAATGTTAATACACTGCATACCATCAGGTTTTCTAATTACCCTATTGCCCCAGTGAAAACACCGAAGATCAGCAGAATAACATGACGTCTACACCGTCATCCTGTCCATATTGTAACAAACAGCACCGTCAATCAGACTGTAGTGAACTGGCAGAACTTCATGTACTTTAGAACGACGTTCCCTCCACTGTGACGACAGACGCATGTCACGGTTTAATTAGCCTGCAGGCTTCTTCACAAACATCCTGACTGGAACCCAGACGAGGGATTTTTTTTTTCTTTCCCATTTCTTCCTGTACTTGGCGCTACTGTCAGTCACAGCTGACGACTTCAGCGTCTGTCACTAGACAGAATGTGGATGAGTAGAATGAGTAGAAACTTTGGCAGATTGTTGCTACAAGCTAGCTGAAACCACTAATATCTTCTTCTCATCTAATACCGGAAACGAAAAAGGACAAAACAACTGAGATAAAGAAGACAAAACAGTCTGTATCTAGTCTGATTAATTTATCCATTTTGTCTCCAGGCCTGGATTTGATTCCTGAATAAATCCTTTGAATTTAGCCCCAGGTCCAACACATCCCTGATGTATAATTGTCTTCTCAGGCCATGACCTTCGTCCTCAGATTTAATCAGATCTGTTCTTCCCACCTGGACTTGGTCTTGTTCACTGACAGACAGAATAATTAGCGCTCTGATGGCGAGGTACAGTAATAACAGGCTGCCCCACGTGTTTGTTGTCAAACCCACCTCCTCTCCACGACTCATCTGAGAGCCAGTACAACACAGTCTGTTACCTGACATTTTGACTCCCTTTCATTATGCTGCTATGTAAATGTTTGAAACACAAAATATCTGTGAACCGGCACAAAAACCTCAGACAATCTCAGAGGAGTCTGACAAACAAACACTCCTTTATCTTTTTCAATATTTCTGCCACAGAAGAGACGGGGGGAAAAAAGCTGTTTTTAAATTAGCCATGTCGGCTAAAGCTGCTGCTTACACTGTTGGAGCAACAGTCAACGAACTGCGACTGTCAACAAAATAAAAGTGAATAAATAAATAATAAATAAGTAACTTAGGGTTTGGTTCTATCACGTGTGTCAGTTCAACTGTACTAGTTGTAAAGGTCACAGGGTCAACAACTCTAGCTAAACTGCACGGCTGTTGATTATGCTGAGTAAAGAATTTGTATAAAAACGTCCAAATATCAAAACCTCAGAGCTGAACAAAGACACTGTCTCTTTGATGTGATGCATCACTCACTTTGATTTCAATAATAAACGGCCCGTCTTCCTCTCTGCCAACGCGTCCACATGCTCTTCAGCATAAATCAATCCTCCTCCTCATTGTCTTCGCCTGCTGCCGCAACCGCAGCTCACTTTTTTTGCAAACTTTTTAAATGAATTTGTCACAGATTTTGCTCATTTATTGAAAAATTACTTTCTCAGAATCAGATGTAGATGTCACAGCTGCTCCTGCAATAATCTAAAAATGTAGAATTTATTTTTTAGGACATTAAGCCAATATTAGCACAGAGTCAGACATAATCATAAATACAAGGATATTTAGCACCACACTCCGGGAAAGAAAGGAAAAGGTGAATATTGTTATGCACATTTAACTCTCTAATTCTGTGTCTATCTTTTCTAGGACTAACTTTTAATCTTCTCATCGTTACAGACCATGAAATAAAACATCCGCAGCCGTTTGTTTATCCATCTAATTTCATGTAAACACTGTCGATCGATTCAAAGGTGATGCTCAAACGTTTGAACGTCTGCTGAAATTCATAGAGTTGTTAAAAGAACAGCCTGACCTACGGCGCCCCGAAGAAATTGCTCCAGCGGCTGCCCCGAAACCTGAAATAGGACTGTCACTGTTGAGAGAACGTTTTGTGACACGATGCACCTTTAAGGACAACGAGGGGCAAAAACAAAGTGGAGCGTTCGTCTCTGTGGAATCTACTTATTTGTCTCTAATGGCAAACTTGTGTCCTGCCGCCCGGGAATCAGTTTCAACAAAGTGTCAGTGTGGTACCGATTGTGTCCTGCACAGAGACACATTAGATGTTGAGAAACAAACACAGCAGGGAAGTTTTACAAATGTGGAGTCAAAATAACACAGACCAGGTCTCAATTTGACTACGGTTCAACAAGAATGGAATAAAACAGTTATTTGGACAGGGACAGGCACGTGTACAGAGAAATCATTGCTAATTATCAACTAATTTAAGTTTTATAATGACTAAAACTAAATATCCACGACACAAACTTCTTCAACACCATCATTAAAGTAAAATTACAGCTCAAATACTCATCTACAAGACTGCAGAAGTCAGTCTTAAAGAAGGACATCACGTACAGACGGCTGTGTGTATATAATCCCAGAGGCCAGATCAATTACAGCAGCACAACACAGAGAATGGCCATTGTGTTTACTGCTATATGTTTATGCACGCTCTCTGCACAGAAACCAACGGCACAATGAGGCTTTTTTTAAAATCGCAACAAGCCGTCACTCCCCAGCAACCCTGGCTGAGAGATAACTGGAGGCTGCGATGATGTAATGCCCACGGACAAACTCAGCTGGTCCTGGATAACGACCGAACACCAACGATGAAGCCAGGGCCACGATGCAGATGGTGTCAAAGTAATCTGTCTTTGACGCCACGCCAGACCCTGCGTTGAGCAATGAGAGGCAACAGCGTTGCATATTTTTAAAGAGCGCTAAACATACAGTAGTGTGTGGAATGCATTTCAACATTGATGCCACAAAGGAGGCGTATAATCCTCCACCGAGGCAACAGCAATCTGACTAAAGACTGTGGGTTGGAAGAAGGGATTCGGTTTTAAATACAAGTACAGGTTTCTGTTGTTTTTTAAACTGTTTTACATATAATTGAACTGCTGCTGTGGGAATATGGCTGCAGACATGAACAGAGGCTGCTCCACCTGTGTTTATGTGGTTCATCATAGGGAAACATGTGACCGAGGAACACCTATATATAGCACACAGACTGCTCTGAGCCGAAAAGCAAGCTGTCGCTGGAGTCTATTGTGCAAATGCTACAAAAACATCCTAATCAATATTGATCCAGTGTGATCAGGTCATGGGGGAGGCGGGCCCACTGCTGACCTCCGATGGACTCTTCTGGGACTGTGGCAGGCTTCAAGAAATAAAATAATGGATTTCCTTTGGAGACATATGTCTAATGGCAGGTTAAAGGGACGACATATTCTCTGGGTTATTGGGAAAATTATTCCTGGAAGTAAAATGAACTCCACACACAGAGAGCTCTATAGTAAAAAAAAAAAAAAAAAAAGCTTTATTGCACTGTCCCTCGCCTAACTATTTGAAGTACTGTGCTTAGGTGAGAGAAATGATCGGTACCATAAACTTGTTTCATGGAAAAACTAAAGTTCAATCACAGCCATCAACATAGGAATATCTAATTACATTTGGTAAACCCTGAGTGAAAAAAAAATTAACCAGGTCTTTGCCGATCCATATCTTGCGAGGAAGAAAATCCAGGTTTTGCTCAGGGCTGGTCCCCACAACAAACAGAAGGACTGAACATATTTGGTTTTGTGCACAGTCATCCTATTCTCTGTCCACAGTTGCTCAAACATTTACAAACCAGAGCTGTGATACAGTTGAACACACAACCCACCACTGTTTTCACTCATCCTCAACAGCTTAACCCTTCATCACAATCACCGATATGACAGAGTCCAGATTACATAGAGCACAGAGACGTCCTGGACAGGTGTTCAATCCACGGCCAACACACACGTTCACATTCACCAATGATCAATCAGCCTCTAATCAGCCTCATGTCAATTCTATCAAGACAACTTGGAGGACAAAACCAGAGGATTCTGGGAAAATACCATGAGTAAATATACAATACACATTGTTCAAGCCCAGGACTCAAAATACATATTTCTGTCAGTCAAGACTACGTCACCATAATCCCAAACATGTCACGTGTAGATGAGTCGATCAACTACAGTAAACGTCCACAGCATTTATTGTACAGAAAAAAATGGACATTGCGTCTCTTTGCAGGTTCTAGTTGCAAAGGGAAGTCAGAACTGAGAGGCTACACCATATTGACAGCATGATTGTTCACGTTCATGAGTGGATACTGGTAACACACCTCAATCCCAGAACCACTTGTCACACCTGGATACAATCTGTCACTTTTTCTGGGGCTTCTCTCAGGCCTGGAGACGCCTCTGCCCTTTTGTTATATACAGTCTCCAGTGATTTTTTTATTTTTATTTTTTTAATTAACTTGATGCATTTATCCACCCGGAATAAAGAGCTAATGGTAGAGGCAAGTGCGGAGACTTCCACCGAAAGGGAGGGGTGAGCTGAGGAGTCACCCTTTGTTGCAATCAGCCGTGTCAGCGGTGGGATATTAACGTGTAACCTTTTTTTTTTTTAACTAAATCAATATTTGTATACACGATAATAAAACGAGGTTAAGCTGAATTCAGGAGGACGAAATACGGCTAAAAACATTGAACTAAAAACATTTGGTTCTTCTTAAAAATTTAGAAACCAGGTGAACTAAATGTTCTTGCATGAACATTAAATTGTTAGGAAATTGTACGGCTGCGTGTAGTCGTATCGTTGTGTTTGGGGCTGCGACAACGGTACACTAGCATATGATTTTAAAATAAAAATAATAACAATGGTGATAAAAAGAAACACTAATGTAGCTGCTGAATCAGCGTCCACTCTCATTAATAACCAACCACCTACCTCTGAACCACAGCAGGCTTCTGTCTCCGTCGTCGACCGTCCGCTCTCATACAGCAGGAAAGAACCCGATTCTCACTCTATCACATTGCAGCACAGTCCGAGCGAACACCCGTCTCCTCCTCACAGCGAACAGAACCGGACCGAACAGAACCGACCAGAGCTGAACAGCTGCGCACGGCTGCACTCATCAGCGTGGACGTGCAGAGACACGGACAGTGGACGCACTGCTGCTTTGTGCCTGTCGTCCCCGCTGGACAAACGCAGAGGACACTCACCGCTGACTGACCGAGTCTGCTGCCGCCGTCGGTCCACCGCGTACTGTTTATTCCATAGCTTGGTCTGAGCAAGTATGCGTGCGTGCGTGCGCGTGCACAAGTAACCGTGCGTCACTGACTTCCGCGTTACAAAGACTGGTTAAAAAAACAAAACAAATCATACACATACAACACAGGTATGTAGCAGGTGGACAAAAATGACACTCATGAAAGGTCATTCCCATAAAATAGGTAAATATATATACATTAGGTGTGTATTTATATATGTGTCTCCTACTGCATGATATTTACATTTATTTACATATTTTTACATATATGTAAAAATATATTCTACATAATATAATAATAATAATATATCCATGTGTGTATATGTATATACACATCGATTATACAATTCATATATATTTCGTTATATTCACATATATATGGTATATGATGTTATATATGTATGTATATACATATATGTATTGTTATGTATATGTTTCATTCCATTTTAAACATGTTAGCTTTAAGGCAGCTGACGTGATCTCACTCATTTCATTACAGATAGATACAATACACGGATGTAATTTTGTTTATTTTTTTAAATCTAACGTCTTTAGGATCAGTAACAGTAACTTTAAGATAGAAACAGTTCTTCTGCTCTTTTTCCTTTTGGACTGTGTTTACTAACTACTGTTTTGAAGGCAGTGCCTTAATCACACACCATAGCACGGCTCACTACAATTTTGTCAAACCTTTCACTCTTCAGCACTGCCCCATCTCCAGTGCCTCTACTTCATATGTTGCTAAGAGTCGCTAAAAACAAAAAACAAAAATAAAATAAACAAACTTCTCCCGCCTAGTCAGTAGCACAGACTGGAGATGACTGACTCAGCTGTGTATATTCTGTATCAGGCTTGTGGACGCTTGTTTGGTTGTTTTGACAATGGAACATGTTCCAACAGCGTCAAACTAAAAGCTACAGACAGGCTGAGTGAAGACACCTGTTGTGTCTAAAACAGGTGTGTCCAACGGTCTTTCCTCATTGGTGTCAAATCCACAAATGTTCATAATCATCTCTGAGGCGATTTAACAAGGACATCTGACTGTTATCAGTGGGCCAAATGGGCCACGCCCCCTATGAAATAATCATTGTAATTTAATTTTATGTTTTTGAAGCACACCTGTGTTGTATTTTTCACACAGGTTTTTATTATTGATGCTGATTCTTATTCATTTCTACAGGAGTACTTTTGGAATACCCCGTAGCTGAAGCCATCATCATTATTATTCCACCTTATGAATGGCTCGCAGTGTAGTGTGTGGCACTTGAGTAAGTCAGATTGTACTGTGTAACTCTACACTCGGAAAGCCCCTCATCACGGAGCAGTGTGTTGGGAGAGACTCACTTGTCCAAGGAGGAAATGTATCCTGTGCCGCCGTTAGGCCCCATCTCTCTGTCTCTGAAGCCTGTCATTGTGTTCAGCCTTATTACTCATGCACAGTCTGCCACTTAGTCCTTGGCACCGGACAACGAAGCCTCTGTGCTCGGCCTGAACGGAGTGGGCACCACAGGAGCGGCGATGCCAAACTGTCAGGCACGTGTCTCTGCATCACGGAGACACAGGCCTTCCCTGGCCTGCTGCTGTGAATATAGAGATGTAGAATTAACGCCCACGTCCCTGGATTGGTTCCAGCGATCTTCCCAGAAATCAGACTAAACAAACTAAAAGAAAATTTTAAAATAAAAAAAAAAACCAGGGTGTTGACATAGCTGTGAGGACTGGAGGATGTCAAGAGCCCTTGTTTGACATGCCAATCCCATTAAGTGTACCATACAAGTTTCATAAGAGAGAGCAGAGAGGAGTCTTGGTCCCTGGAGGTCTCTGTCAGATGGATTCCAGGGAGGAGAAACTGTAAGTTTTTTTTACCTCAACATGTTTCTTCCTTCATTTATTGCCACATTGAACCTGCTCAGCTGGTTGTTCCTGACTGTCTCATGCACTGATCACTGCTGCGTCTGTGGCGATGATGTCATCTGCCTATGCAAAAGTGAGGAGTGATTTCATTGGCAATGGTTTGGAGCAGGGGTTCCCAATATGTGGGTCACAATCTACCGAGATCACAAAAGGAGAGCTGGCAGATCATAAGCAATTTAAAGTAAAATCTAAAATATATATACAGTATATATATATATATATATAAAATATATATAAATATAATTCTTTAGTGTGTAGTAGTGAACATATACTGTAAGAATATGATCATATTGTGCCATACAGCATCATGCATATGCAAAACTAATAATAATAAAAATGTTTTTTATATACACATATAATACACACATATATATACAGTATATATATATATATATATATTTATTTTTCAACAAAACAGGTTTGGAAAAAAAGAAAGTCAAGAAAAACATTGTTTTTCTCTTTTGACAAAATACAGGTTCTACAGCACTTGGCAGCGTAGCAGCAGCCAAACTGAATAATCTTGAAAAAAAAAAAAAACCCAAAAAAACCCAAAACACTGCCTTTGGGTTGTGTACGTGTGTGGGGAGCTGTGAAAGACAGTTTAAGCGAAGAGGAGAAGGAAAACAAATCAAACACTCTCTACATCTCTGAAGAAACAACAGGAAGAATGGATTCTTCAAAGAGTGTGTCAGACGTTTATGCTGCACCTTCACAGGTCGGACGTCTTTAAGGTTCCTCTCCCAGCTACGGATTCATAGCTAAAGACCTAAACAGATGAGAAAAGCAAATGTAAACAGTTTCTCCTCCAGGTGAAGGTTGAAGGATGTTGGTGCTTTAACTGAAATCTCTCTGAAAGCTGCAGCACTATCTCTGCTTTATCTCTGCCATTAGTCAGTAAAGTCTGCATGTTGAGCAAAATAACAATAATAAAAATGTTAAGGTTGGACTATTCATTTAGATGTCTTAGCCCAGAGGCCATCAAACATACGGCCCGTGGGCCATACCTGGCCCGTGAGGAGGTGCAATTCCGGTCCACTTGATGAATTTTGCATTTGTATATTAAGTATAAAAATGCAGAAACCCTTTCATGATATTTCCATGATATGTTTTGTAAAATTGAACATGTATATTAAGTATAAAAATGCAGAAACACTTTCATGATATTTCCATATGTTTTGTAAAATTGAACTTCAATAAATATATGAAAACAAAGAGGAAAAACATTTATGTATTTATAGGTAATTATGTTACGATCGTACTGGTCCAGTCCACCTGACATCTGATTTGGCTCTCTGTGGCCCCTGGACCACAGTTTTAGACACTAATTTAGGTTGTTCTTACTGTTTTTAATAGTGCATTCTATTTAATCGCAATAAAAAAAGGAGAAAATACTGGGAAACTATTATTGTTTTACGACAAAGTGTGTTTTTACAGCTGGATCTTAAAATGCTTGAGAGCGGGTTTTTATTTGCTACTATAAAAGTTTTTAAAGTCTTTGCTACTCACCCTGCGACTGTTTCTTGAATAGAAAAATAAAACCATCCTTTAACAACAACAGATTGAAAATTGGCAAAAACAAAAAGGCACTCAGTCGGAAACCAAATGAACACGATGCATTTGTTCTCACATCCATCAAACCCCCAAACTATCTCCTTTTGATTAAAAACAAACAAAACAGAAGTTTCTTTCTTTCATGCCGTGGAACATTTTATCAGTGAGCGGAGACCAGGAATTGTTTCAGCAACATTTCCTGCACAGACCAATTATCTTGGATCAAAGCCAGACAACATGAAGGAGGAAGATGAGGATAAAAACACCGAGCTGTGACTCAGGTCATGGTCTGTCTGTCGAACAGGAACAACGTCCAACGTCAAAGGAAAGTGAAAAATAGCCGCTGCCCCTACTTTTCATCAGGGTGGTCTGCTGCGGTGACTCACCGCTGAAGAACAACAAAGCGCTGCACGGTTTCTAATCCACAATCTTCAAATTATCTGCAGGAACTCTGTGGGATTAGTTTTCACCAGTGCATGAAAACAAACTGCAGCCTGATCCGATGTGATGCAGATGATTTTAAAGTTGACTAAAACCTTCAAACTGAGCCCACGGCAGAAGGAGCTCAAATGCAGTGTCTCCTAATGGTTGGTCATGACCTAGAAGTGGGTTCTAATGTAACAGGTCCATCAGACAAGTCTGTTGTGTTACTGCAATCACAGCCTTCAACACATTAGTTCTTCCTCTGTGCCTCGTCTGCACTCTACCTCGATTCCTCAGTAAAAAAAACCTAATTTCTGTATTTGTGTTGACAAAACAGAGTCTAACAGAGAGGGACATTCAACAGTTCTTATACAGACATTATCACTGTTTATCAGTTTCCCATTTATACTCATATATATATATACAGTATATATATATATATATATATATGTGTGTGTGTATATATATTTAAAATATCCAGTTAGTTTTGAATAGAATATTTTTACAAATCTGGTCTCCTAGGATAATTTACAGTTATGTCGCAGGTTATTTATGCCAACCCGGTCTTTATTATTCTTGGATATAATTGTTTGCATAATTTAAACCAGTGTTTCCCAAACTTTTTTTCTGGGACATATTTTAAAAGTCACAAACTTTCGAGACCCAAGTCAACAGACATTATCGTCGTAAACTCCTGGGAAACATGATGCGAGATGACCCAAAAAAACAAAACAAAACTGTGGAACCCAGTCTTTGGGAAACAATGATTTAAACTATGTATTTAAGGTAATTCCAATTTCAATTGTACTTTTTACTTTATTACATCTTTACTTATTTTTCACTTCAGTTCATCATATCACTCTGCATGTACTGGCCTTTTGCTCTGTTCCTGTCGACTTCTGATAATTACTGCACACACGGTTACTGAATGTGAGCAAATGAGAAAGAACAGCATCAGCATCACCTCACAAAAAAGTCCGAATTTTCTTTTTCAATTCACAAACTACACCTGATGTAACTGCAACTGGACGCCGCAGTCGGATGGAAAGGTTAAGAAGAGACTTTATTAGATCAAACCCCTGTAGATACTTTAACAGCATTTGAAGTTTTTGCAACAGCTGAGCAATAAAAAGACATACAAAAGATTTTTTTTTAATATGGCAACCACTGAACTGTACACACACACACACATATCAATGACACCATAACACACCCCCAGCCTACACAGGTCACCACTGACACGCACACCTATACACACTTTGCATAATCTGCTATAATAAAAACCAATTTTTTTTAATCATAAATAAGTCGTAAATTAGTAATAAATATTAAGCGTTTCATTAGTAGACATGGTGAAGTGTTCTTTTCCCAGAAATAAAGCAGTGATATTAGCATGTATGTGCCGCTTTAAGAACGAAGAAGAATCTCATCGACAACAACCTCACTGTCAGTGTCCTCACCCCCAACGACAACAAGAGTAAGTGTATAAATATGATGGAGCTAAAGTGCATCTGTCAAAGACTTGTCCTAAGAAGTCAGTGATTAAAAAAAAAAAAAGTTAAAAAAAAACTATTAAAAGTTGTGAATGTGCAACAGATATAATTTGAAGAAAGAAGAGAGAAAAAAGGATTTAAAAAAAAAAATCAAACTGTATTTTCACATTGTAGAGAAGTGAAGTTTGTTCCGGGCTGTTTTTTCAGTCTGTTCCTTTAGTCCGTTTGGCTTCAACAAAAAATCTGATGCTAATGTTCATCAAACTTGGCTGCTAAAAAAAAAGCACAGTGGTGAATAGGTGCTTTTCTTTCCCCTGCTTCTCATCGACGGACAATCTCTTCAGGTCTCTCTCACTTCAACCTGCAGTACTGTAATTTCACCACATGGGGAAGGTGGGGCTAGATCTTGGGCAGTTTGGGAGCGCTGATAAGTGGGTTGCTCTCCTGCAGGAGTCGCCGTCCGGCACTTTTGTAGTCGTAGGCGCAGTCGTGTGTCTCTGCGTAGCGGTGTGTGGCGCAAAAGTTGTGACCGCACCTGAAAATAGAAGTGACAAAACAGACTTAGACAGTGTTTGGATGAAGATCTGAACTCTTCAACCACAAAACTCTGAGTTTCGAATCATGTTTTTAGAAGCAGTGGTGACGCTTCGACTAACAAAGAAAAGGAATTCAACAAAGGAACTAATTACCCAATCCAAAAAAGAGCTAGTTATTATTTAATAATAAGAACTTTCATAATTACAGAATTCTGCGGCAAATTAAAAAGACAATCATCAGAAGATTTTTATGATAGAACCTTTTTTTTAAAAATAAATATGTGGGCGACTACAGAAAAAACAACAGATGTGGTCGACGTGAAAAGAAGTCCAGATTTTGGCAGTAAACGTTAGACAATGTCACGATTCCAGGAACTACAAGGATTACTCACAGAGACTCCAACCATCAAAGAAATTAGTAACAGTGTCTCCATCCCACACCAAAGGATTAAAGTCTACAGTCAGATCATTTCACTAAAAACACCAGCCCCATGTCACCCCCCTACACACCCCCCTCCCCCCGGTCCACGGCTAGTCTTTGTAAGCACAATTTAAAAATCGCTCGCTCTCTTCAAGTGTGGATACACACGGTTACACGCCGTTGCATCAGTCTCCCAGGGTAAACCTGGGAAAAACCCCTGGAGATGGAAGGTATCCGCTCTAAAGTGGAGGTCGAAGATGATGAATGTAATAAGTTATGACAGAAGGAGCACAAACAGAGGCCGACTCTCACTGGGGAACGTTAGAACGAACCAGTGAATGAACCAGTGCCGGTGGAAGTTCATGGACGGTGCTGAGGGACAGATGTGCCGAAGACGCCTTTACCTGCACTTGTAGCTGGTGGCCAGACCGGTCTTTTTGTCACAGAGGAAGCAGTGCTTTGAGCTTTTCTTTTTGCTGCCAGTGGGAGCTTTGACTGGAGGTAGGTGGTGAGTCTGAGCGCCTGGAAGAAGAGGATGAAACGTATGGTTTACTCTGAAGGAGCCAGAGAGGCTGAAATGACAGAGCACTTAAAAGTTGATTTCTATCATTGAGTAAATCACGACTGTCACGAGCATGAGAATGGGCTGAGCGACCCACTGATTCTAAAACACAATTACACAGAATCCTCTATGGCTGCACGCGGAATTACATATAATCACAACTTTATCTCATCAAACTGAAATTTCCACTGAAACATTTGTTCATGTTCTGGCCTAAACTTTCCAATGACCTGATGGTCACTGTTAACCGTTGATCTTCAAGATCAGGATCAAAACAGTCACCAAGTGACTGTGCATTTTCTCAGTCTTAGTCACTTGTGTTTTATTTCTTCTCCAAACTCTGACAAATTCTCACAAGTTGCCAGAAGTTAAAAATAACTACTTAGTCATTACCGACTCAACTGAGGTGAGAATTGGATGTTAAAAATAAAACAGTCCTCGCTGGTTCACATTTATTTAAATTAAAAAAATATGAGCACAAATAGCAGGCGTTCATGCATTCGTGGTCTGGCACGACGGTCCCTAAAAAACAAAAGGACAACCGTAGACCTGACCTGTTGGTTAGGACTGGTCCCATCTGAACCATTATTAGGTCATTTTTAGACTTTTATATGTATTTTCTTTAGTAGAATTTTAAACAAAGGAATAATGATTTTTATTTTTTGTTTTTTATACTTTATTTTTTAACTCATAACATCAACTAGAGTCTGTCAAAACGCTGCTGAAGGTTCGGATCATGAGAATTTCTGAGAAAAAGGAACAATAAAAAGATAAACTCCTCTGCAGCGAAGAAACAGGAAGTTCGCTGACATCGAGCAGATGAGTGAGTACAGAAGAATCTGGAACCACATTTAACACATTTCCAATGTTCTTAAAACTATTTATGTGTCAACGTTCTGCTGCGTGGGGAATTCCTTGTCGTTTGATCAGATGTTATTTTTGATCTTTCTGTTAAAATATATTTTAATTTTTTTATAAACACTCTTCTTGTCATGTAAGACACACACACATTTATTTTCCAGCACAGCAGCCTGTGGTTCTGCACAAACAGCTAATGTCACAGCAACATAAACAAGTGTCTTGTGTTCAAATCATCTTCACAAAATGCTAATATAAAAACAATTAGCCATTTATTGATTTGATTTGACCATTTGTTATTCTGAGCGTGTCAGTGTGTCGTCCACTGCCTCCTCTCTGAGTCTTCTCCTTCTGCAGTGGTAGAAACAGTAAATATTTAAAGAGCCTGGTGATGGTGGTGCTTTCGTTGTAGCCTGTATAAACACACATCCACATAATAACCACGTCTCTGTTCTCCATGTGACGTGTAGCAGCCACCGAGAGCTGCTGAGTGAACTCTAAAGGACCATAAAAGCTGTCACTCAGTCCAACCTACGCTGACGGAGCGGTGAAGTGGACGAGCCCGGAAAAACACAACACAAACGGCGACTTCAAGTCCGTCTGATGCAAAAGCATCGCTATCATTATAATCATGTGTGTGTGTGTGTGTGTGTGTTTTCTTACCTATTCTCCCAAATGAAGCCATGACTCCTCCTGTTGGAACATGAGTGTTGGTGGCCTGAGCAAAACAAAAAAAAATATTATTTTTCAGCCAAAATACCCTGTGTTCTAAAAAGGATTTGGTCTTTTTGGGGACATTTTGATTTAGTCTTTTTGGGACATTGTGACTTGGTCTTTTTTTGAGACATTTTTGGAGGCAGAAGGATGTGGCTGTAAATGTTTTGCCTCAGTCTGTCTCCATGAGGGCAGTTCATTTTTATAACAGTTTGATTCATTTATGCTGCTCGGTTTATTCTGTTGCCTTCATGTGTTTGCGAATGTAAGGCTCACTAAATTGTGTGTATGTCAACTCACTTCTCTATTGAAGTTGGTTTCATTTAAGCAGTAGCATCCTCATGATGCTGTCCATTTATGATATTGTATGACATCATGATTGCATAATCAAAAAATGTTATCCTGTCACAGTTCATTTGTTGTTTTTTTCTGACCAGGAAAATGCTGGGCATCGCTGACACCATTACAAAAATGAAGTCAACTTCGGTGCAGATGGCTGATGAGGTAAAGACGCCTAAACAGAAATGCATGTTTAGACTTTCTTTTAAACATTGTTTTTCTCCTGCTCCTCATTCTCTCCTTTGCTCCAACACATCCTCTTTCTCCTTTTATCCCAACCAGATGATAAGGCAGATGGCTGAACATTTCTCAGTCTGATCCTGCCAGAGTTTCCTTCCTGATAAAGGGATTTTTTTTGGTGTTTAATTTCCGAGCACCGACGCCAAGTGCTTACTCATTGTGTGAACTATTTCACTTCTCTTCCTCAGAAAAAAGTCTTTGACCTTAAATACGACGTGTCCAACAACCAGGCGTATTGTAATACAGCACGGTGACAATGTAGCTATCAAACACAAGCCCAAGACTGGATAAACATTCTTGATTCTTTCTCATGTCTGCGTGGTTTGTAGCAATGTTTGGACAAAGAAAAATGTTGAAACATTTATCACAGCACTTATCAAGCCTCCAATGTAATATTTGTACAACAAGAAGTTACAGTCCAACAGTCAGTATTCACCGCTACATGCCATAAGAATTTCACTTCAAATTTAATAAAATAAAATTGAAATTCAATAAAACTTTAGAGGCTGAAGTTGGCTTCGTTTTGGTAAAGGTGAGGTGGGCGATGCCCAGCAACACAATTACTGAAACAAGACAAGTCTTGTGGTGATGTCATTGTGATGTTATGCATGGTTGAACAGCAGCGCCACCCTGTTGTAGCCTGTGTCACTCATTCTCTCTGTGTGTGTATGTGTGTGTGTGTCTTCTAGTAAATATAAATATATCTTATTAACTTAAATTAATGATGACCAGAAAGAAACAGGCAGGAAAAGCAAAACTGAGAGAACACAGGGGCGGGGCTGTGCATTCTATTAAATTGTATACATGTACTGTACATATTCTGACTACTCGTTATAAATACACACATTTACTTTGTATCCTTGCACAAATTTAACATCAACTGTGATACATTCTCTGTTTCTTCTTCGAGCATCTGCTGCATCTGAAGAATTCATAACATCTCACTCATAACTGGAACTTTAGTTGAATAAAACCATATTTTTCCTTCTCCATCTCTGGTGTTACGCCGCTCAGAGCCAAAAAAACTGTGTACCAAAACTGTTTGTTAAGTGTCGACAGAAAACAAATAATGCTCACCATGTAAGAAGAAGCAGCTCGGTGCAATGGAGACACTGGCCTGATAAGACCCTCCTGAAGGAGCCTGTTAGTTGTGATGGACGGCAGCCTGGAGCCATGGCTGCCCTGTCCCAAGGCAGCAGAAGGAGGCAATGCCACTGCAAGACCAACGCTGTCCCCGAGGCCGTCCCTGCTCCTCCTGCTGTCTGTAGCCCTTGTGGAGACAGATGCCAGGAGCTCAGAGTTGTCCTGAATTCCCAGAGGGTCCTTGCAAGCTCGGTTGACCAATTTTGTGATGCTTCTTGCTCCTGCCTTTGAGAGCTGCTCTGGCCTCCTGCCAGAAGCCTCGGCTTTAACAGCACCGACGTGTGAGGCGTGAGATGATGATGAGACGGCAGAGGTGTGAGGGGATGTGTTGCTTGGCTTGTCAGGTGCGGAGGATTGTGCTTGAAGTCTGTCCTGTAAACAGGAGAGAGTGGAGTCGAACGGCTGAGGCAGCAGTCTGGAGGAAGTGGTGGGTAAAGGAGAGGAAGGGCCAATTTGAAAAGACGTGCCAAGTTCTGCTCTGTCAGCTCTGCTGGTCAGAGAATCGCTTTTACCAAGAGTCCAGGTACTGAGAGGGGAAGGGGAAAGGGGCAACTGGTGCTGAGCAGCAACCTCGAGGGACCTACAACCTCCCTCCACCTGGGAGGATACGTCCAGACTCAGTGGATCTGAGAGCTCCCCAAACGAAGCACCGGCTTGTGTTGGTGCCACAAGTCCAGGACCTTCATCTAACAAACCCAGTCCAACTGCCTCTCCTGAGGGGTCAGCAGGATCAAAAACAGCCTCTGGCGGACCTCTGGTACAGAGAGGTGGAAGCTGAGGGTACACGCAGTCCCTCATCAACCTAGTGCTGCCGATGTCTAATCGGGACACTTTGGGAGGGGGTCGTATTTTAGCAAATGCTGGACAAGTCTCCCATGGCTCTTCTTCATGCAGCATGTAACAGGAAGAGGAGAAGATGGAGGGCGAGGCCCTACGGGGGATGTGCAGGTGGGCGGATGCTGCTGCTGCAGAAGGTGATGAAGACTCTATGGTTTTGTGGTCAGCAATAGGAGGTAGCTGTGGGCTTAGATGCTGAGAGTGGTTTAAATGATGTAGAGAACGAAAGAGTCGGTGATGGTGCCGCGTGCTGGTAGAACCTGGTGAACCACCACAGGGGTGTGAACTGACTGGGGCTCGAGGTTTCACCTTTGCAGACTTTTTCGGCTGGAGATCAGACATAAAGAGACATCAGAATGAGATCAGAAAGCACTGTATGATCTATTATAAATTATAAAATGATAGCCATCGTCTCATTACGTTAATCAGGCAGCCAGTGTAATTACATTCACAGCATAAGAACGATAGCAAGTACGATTTAATATGATAAAAAGTTCTACCCTCGCTCTGACACATGCAAATTAGTGTTTTGCTGCAGTGCAAATAAATTATGCAGAATGGTTGCATGCTGTCATTTCTGTGTATGATTGTGATGAGCGGTGTCCTCCGAGACTACGTTTTATAAACATGGTGTGAAAACGAATTTAGCGTCAAGGCCTCATTTGCATTCTGATTGGGGGAAAAGGCGAAAATTGGTCCAAATGTGATCCCAGCAGCTCCCCCACCTTCTTGTTAAGGTTCATGTCCTCCATCTTGGCTTTGAGCAGCTTCATTTTATTCATGGTGATGGAGTTCTCAAGGCTGTGCTGAGCAGCTGCAGAATTATCTCCATCCTCCTCCTCTGCATACATGTTGAATACAGAACCGGCGCTGGAAAAAATATGACAACCAGAAAGAGAGGGAGGGAGAGGGAGAGAAAGAGAAAAAAAGAGAGAAAGAGAGAGAGAGTAAGACGAAGGCAAAGAGTTGTGCACATAAACTCAGCTGCAGTGTCTCACAGCCCTCACTGATTGCATTATACTTTTCACTCTGATTCTCATGTCTGTGTCTTTTTGATGGTCATGTTTTTCCACAGTAGCTTACATTAAAAACCACTGCTTGGACTTTTCAAGCCACCGCTCCACAACTTTATATGTAGGTCAATTTAGACTTAAGAAATTCTCTGTTGAAGTCAGTTTTGCTTTGGAAATAGTTGCTGCTAAGATGTGCTCATTAGATAAACATGACACAGCATAGCATAACATCATGACAGCCAATCATTCCTTTCCTGTTGCAGTTCATTAATTTGGTTTGACACAACTTCAATGCAGGGCATTGCTGACAGCAACATGAAGCAGACTTCAGTAGCTGATAAGTGAAGCACTAAAACTGAAATGAGTGCACATATAGACCATGTGTGTCAAGTACAGTCTACACTGTAGACCATTGCAAGTCTACCCCCAATTCTGCTTAATAGGTAGTGATGAGATTCTCACCTTACAGATTCAGACAACGGGGTCAAAGTGCCATCACCTCTGTCCACCACTCTGAAGAAGCTCAGCTGGTCCCCCTTTCGATAGACCACAAATGTGACCTGCTTGTTGCTGATGCTCTTCTCCCAACCGTCCTCCTTTGTGCTGTCCATCAGGTTGGACACGTCTTTGATAGGATCCTCCATTGTTACTAACAAAAACAAGTGAAAAAAAACCCACACAGAATGAGATTTTAATATCGGACATTTCATAGAAAATACTCCTCAGAATGTTTTTTTGTTCTTTGTGTCCAGCTGTCATGTGACTGTACCCTGACCTGCAGTGTTTCTGTTACCTCTCCTAATGTTGATTGGCCCTCCCCTCATGGCTAAGACCAGCTTCAGAGTGCAGCCTTCAGCAATGCTGCAGAGCAAACAGATCAACAGAGCATCATTAGTGGGTTGTATGGTTACTCTATAACCCATGGATTCATTGCACAATAATCTATGATACTTTGGAAACATTTAAACATATTCCCCACAGAAATGTTAATGTTAGTGAATAATTAACTTGATTTTGTAAAAAAAAAAAAAAAAGTGTGGTGAGAGTCTCACAATTATTATTTCACATGAAAAATGCAGTATAATACACCCAGGAGCAAATCAACCAATCCTCACTCCAAAAGAAGAGTTCTGTTTTCTGTCTCAGTCTCCGTGCAGTTTAACACTTAAAAAAAAAAAAAAAACATTTTCTGCAAAGTGCCAGAAGCTGTAAAACTTGTAAATGAAGTGACACCACCACCACCTTCATCATCATCATCATCAGCAGCAGCTGAACACGATGAGGTCAGATTCTGAGAAACTGGGAATATAGAGAACAAACTCTTTGACACCTGTGTCATCCGTGTCTTAATCAACAGTGGTTAGTGAAGCAGCTGGAACATTAACATTAAGACCGAACAGAACCTCAGACAGAAAGACGTCCCAGTGTTTCATCTTTTCAGGATAGGAAGAGGTGGGAGGAACAGATTTACCCATAATCGTGGAGACAATGCTCATCATCCAGCTCCAGATTGTTCCAGATAAGGTGTTGCTGGGCAACAGGAATACCTTAACAGACAGCAAGAGGGAGACATATCAGCGGAGAAAACACCCTAATTTGACAGGAACATTGTCATGTTTGGATAAGAAAATTTCCCACTAATCTGACAGACACCTGGGATGAAAATGTCACGAGACAGGGTGAGCCAGAAACTTACTAGTTACTGATTCATGTGTGCCCCCTAAAGACAGAACAATGCAACTGCTGGAAAAACAGCAAAAAACAGAAATGGAAGATTTAAAAAAAAAAAAAGAAAGACATGTACTTAAATAATACTACCTTGAATAAGTTTGTATAAGTGGGACTGTGTTTTGCAAGGTAGATTGTGTACTCTGTACTAGTACAGAACAGCATGCAAATTAAAATCAAATAAATAGGAATTTAGTTGAGGCAACAGATAACAACAAACTAACAAGTAAAAGGCCTCTTTACTTCAGAATTGAAAAAGAAAATGGGTGCAGAGTCACAACACTCTCAGTGCCAACTTTTAACGACCTCTCTGACCCCAGTGCTGGAGGTGGGCCAGTGTTGGTGGAGAGAGCAGCGGCCTCATCATTGCTGAGTTTTATGCTCCATTACAAACTTGAATTGGCTAAAACACCACCATACAAAGAAACCGAGGAAAAACCATTTGAATCAAAATTCAGAAGCAAAACAAAGATACACAGGAATGGGAGATCGCATCTTGTTTCTGCAACAAAGCAACCACAGAAGAGTGCCAAAATAAATGAAAAGAAAACCAAAACACATTCTTCCAGATTCACATTCAACAGCACAGAGACCCAACATTGAACCCAACTGCAAAACAGATGATTTCGCCTCTGGTGTCTCATCTGGGAGATAAGCCAAATAGAGTTCACCATCCTAGTGTTGAATCTGTATCGCTGCTGACTCTCAAAAATGACTACAGTATGACCTTGTTGCACAAAGTTGTATTCAAGTCAAACGTTACAAGGACTCAGTCAATAACAGATTATTCTCCAAACTCAAGATAAGCTCAAGATAAATAAAAACATAGAAAAAGAGAGCAATAGTACATTAACACTTGCTGTATTTACAAGTGCAAATGCCATTTTACGAAGATTAAAAAATCCACAACAAGTCTGCTTGTACTGATAGTCACACAACATATTTTAATGTTGTCCCTTGTATATTAATAGCTTACATTTAGAATCCCACCTCATTCAAAAATGACATGCAAACAACAAATGAAATAATTAAAAGGCACTGGTGAGTTTGTACCTTCAAGGCGCTGGATCTTTGCCTTGACTGAAACGACAGCCTCGAAGGGCAGCACACGCAGCTCAAAGCAGGTTCCTGTCAGCGTCTCTATGAACAGCTCCATAGTGTCGTAAAAAGGGAACTTGTACTGAAAAGCTCCTGCGCTGTCGTCATTGAAGAAGGGTGGCTCTTTCCTGTTGGTCATTTTTGCAGAATGGAAGACAGATTTTCAGGGAGATGGAGAAGTAGAATGGTGCAACAGGGTTTTGGAAGAGAGGCACCGGCACTGATCACCAGCCTCGCAGCCGTCACACATCCTGTGGGATGATCACAGCTGGAAGTAGAAAACAAAAAGTCAATGCATCAGTGGTTCTAACCAATATGTAGTAAAGAATAGTTCTTTCAAAAAATGGCTATATCAAGTGGGTTTGAACACAACACAAAACAAGACTTTAAGTCATCATGACTACTGAAAACTCATATGATAAATATTTATCATTTTTATCCACATTTGAAAAAATAAAACATCAAAATATAATCTGAAAAAAATCTCATCATAGCAACACAGAACATTACCAACAAAAACAAAATTGTTATGAATTCCGAAAATTGTTTACATGGAATGTACTCCAGTTGTGTTTGCAATTATACTAGACTTTTCTGTAACTATATGCATGTTTCAGAAACAAGAATAATGTGCTGCCCCCTTCTCTGTTCCCTTCTCTTATAAGAGAAAAAAAATCATGAGTTCAATTCCTGGTGGTTACTCTGGTTGGTTAAGTTTCTAGTTTTCTGCCATAGTTGAAAAGCAAACAAATGGACAGAACTGACGTATGAATTACAGTGTGACAGTAATTTGTCTCTACATGTGTCCCATGGTGGACTGATGGACCGTCCAAGATGTAGCCCTGCCCATTAGATTGGCAGCTGGAACTGGCTCCAGGATTAAATAAAATAAAATAAATGTGTAACTCTTTGAAAGGAAATTATTTCTACTTTAACAAAAGTTGATTCTTCTTTATAAATTCACTAATGTTTATACTTTTCTAAGCGTCACACATTTGAAGGACCCAATGACCGGTCAACTAAGAAAAAAAGGGATTGTAAAAATAATACAAACACTTTCAGCACCATGAGTCACAAGACAAATTACTCAGTGGAGCAGTGGATAAACAAATACAAAATCAATATCAGTATTGATCACATGTCAGTACCTCATTAAGGCACTCTCCTGGACTGCTGCAATGCCCCTTTAAAAATAAGCTACAACAATTTTAGAAACAAGGACATGCACCGGTGACAGCAGCAGCAGCAGCAGTAGTGAACATGTGCAGCCATCTAATGAAACATTCAGGGAGGCAGTTAAGTCACAGGCCAAAACTCAAGATCAGGTGCGTTACATAAGCCTGTCAGTGGTACAAGGTGTCCTGATCCTGACGGATCACCTCCTTTGTCACTCTACACCTCTGACTTTGTACATAAAGACTGATGGAGAGACATACTGGACGGATAAGGACTACCAGATAATGTCCCAAAAATTATAATTTCAGGTGGCATCTTAAATCAGGGTGAATGATGTCAGCCGCAGAGAATAACGGAATTCAGGTTCAACATTACTTTGAGGCAACAACGTTGTTGTGAAGTTTACAAATGTTCCACCTATGCAGTTAACTAATTTTAACTCAGATTAAGTTCTGATTAGATTAGATTAAGGTGTGCATCACCTTGGCCTGACCTGCTGTCAATCACTGTTTGAAAAGTGATGGGTAATGGCCACAAAACTGAAATGTGGAGTTGATGGTGTCATCTGTGTACATTCTTTTTTTAAAGTAAAAAGTACAAGGGTAATTTACAACAGGAAATACACTGAGCTACTGAACCATATCATTTAACAACAGTGATTTTTGTTTTATCCCTTCAATAAATGCCTTGGGCTCGTTAGGCCAGGGTATTTATTGAGACATTTAATAAGGTCCCGGCATGTTTGTTGTCCATGGCTTTGCTGTGTGTGCTTCTTTGTGGGGGAGGTCTTTTGTGATATTTGCGTTGAATTTGTGATATACACACACAGTTTCTGTTCACTATACAGTACTACAGACTAGACATTTTTAACGTACCCTTTCAGATTCGAAGTAATGTTTGAATAAGTACCAAAGGTCCGTATCATTATATCAAATATTGTACTGGGCCTGGGTTTACGTATTCAAAACCGTAAATTGTGTCACAACACTTACTTTCTTTAGCACAAAACTGAGGTTTCAAGCCGTAAACGTTCACAAGCAAAAACTATAGTCTTTGAATTCACCCTTGGTCGAGGACAAAGAAGAGCCGGAGCAGCTGCGTAAAAGCGATAATGCGAGCTTCATGACAACGGGGATGAATGGAGTTGACAACCGTCTCAATGCAATTCCAGCCGCTAACATTTGCACAGAAAGGTGATACGTGGTGAAATAACTAAAACCCAGATTGAACAGTATGAACTAAGTCTACTATTGATACAGAATTCAAACCTACTGACCGATAGGTTCCACAATCCCACGAAGCCCTTTAGCAGACGCTGCTAGCTCTGGTTGCCATGTTAGCCATCAACTAAAACAATGGCTACTTTCTCTCGGTGCTCGGTTAGCAGGCTGCTCTGCTGCTACATCCACGGACTCCGCTCATGTCCTCCAAATCCACGGAAGCTGTGTTTAAACAACAGGCAAAACGTTTAAAACCCACGCAAGGACCGGACGTGTGTGTCCACCCTTGTCGGTCGCCGTTGTCCCATTGTTGGCGACATCATTATACCTGTCAAAGGCAGCTGGACAACACCTTGGTGACGTGCTTTGATTGACAGACATACCAGCCAATTGGCATCGCGGGAGGAATGACGAGTGTATTTGTTTTTCCAGTAACATTTTTGTTACTTTTAGTTGAGTTTGAGAAAAACAATAAATCGATCCATAAATAATAATAATAAATAAGCGTTATTTTCTACTGGGGTTTTTTGTATTGACTAAACAGTAAGGAATATTCAACCTGTAACGCCACCACTACATGTTGCCAAATTCTGCATACAATTGTTTTATTGTGATCTACCATTCAAAAAGGAAACTTTTGATGATTAAATGTAAAAACATATTGCATACTTTGCGTTAATGAATAGACAAAGTAAAGTTTTGAATAAATTTTGTGTTCATCACAAGCATTGCCCGGTGCATTTGTGTTGAGGACTAGATTGCAAATGCAGAAAGGAACCCAGGAAATAATGACACGCATTCAAAAAGCATAAAATGTTTCCTTTAGTCATAAAAATTAACTATCTTTTTATCACAGCCAAAGTTAAGAAAATGATGACTCTTATTAATAAAAACATTGTCAAATTTCCTAAGACACAAATGAAACAGATTAATTTCTAACAATCATGATATGGCACAAACCCAAAGACATGAAATCTCAACTAGGCAAACAAAATTAACAAACAGAACAATTTACTGTTTATTTCTGCAGGCGATGAGGCTAAGCATATTGCTTTTAAAGTGCTATCATGTAAAATAAAAACCATAATCATGACCATTAAATGAAATTAGTGATTTGCAAAAATGCTGCCAGAATAAGAGTTGGACAATTTCCATCTGCCAAAAATATGCCACTGAGTTCGTATCGGTTTACATGAATAAATACTCTACCAACAAGTTGATCTCCAGTCTTCAAGTGATCGAAATAGCAAAAGTACTCATTTATATTTAACAAATGTACAAGTTTTGCTTCTCAGAAACAACAGTTCAGGTCCCACCAAGGGCGTTTAGTGGATCGTCAAATATGTTGCTGGAATCTGTCGCTGCAGTCGTGTCCTGGGCGGGTATCGTTTTCTTAGATTTATTTGAAGCCTTTGAAACTTTCTTCACTTTGCTCGATGAGAAGATGTCATCTATGGAGAACAAACAACATGGGCACAATGTTGAAAAAAAGAAAAGAAAAAAAGAACAAAACAACAAAGACAGAAAATAGACAAAAGCAATGCTGTTTCTCAAAAAACTCACCCATGTCATCGTCAAATATCGACTTGGCCTCTGGCTTTGTCTTGAGTTTCTGCTTTGGTTTGAAAGTGTCTGTCAGATCAGCAAAAATGTCTGTGTCATCATCGAACAAGCTGAAATCTAAAGGCTTCTCTTTGTGCTTCTTTTGAACTTTAGGCACAGTAGTTACTTCGTCCTAAGGGAAAAAAAAAGATTCAGTAAAAAGTGACACAAATGACAACTCAAATGATAACCCTCAATATGAGACATGACTACCTGGAAAATTTCCTGCTTGGAAAAACTACTACCATTCTTCATTTCTTTACTACTGGTCGATGACGGAGTGGAACTGTTGCTGACACCGAATATGTCCTCGTCATCATCGTCGTCTTCCAAGAATTTCGACTGCTTGGCTTTCTTGGCCGTCGACCTCGGTTTGGCTGGTTGAAACAAATCATCCACATCGTCATCAAAAATAGACTGGAATGTGCTTTTGTCTTTGTCTTTTTTAGCAGCCAACACGCCGCTGCCTACAGGTGGTGTCTTCGCGGTTGACAGTACGGTGGGGGGTGTGTTTGTCACCGACGTGGCCTCAAACAGAACGTCGGAGGCAAAAATGTCATCCACATCAGAGTATGCCAACACTTTACCACTGGGTTTACTGGACTCTTTCTTTAGAGCATCATTCGACTCTGGCAATGACAAAACAGAAGGTCTGGGGGATCCTTTCAGGACAGTGTGCTGAGAAGGTGGGGAGGCGGCCAAGACTGTGGGCGTGGAAGAGGTGGAAATCGTTGAACTGCTACTCGTCTGGCTGGCTCTCTCTGGTAGACGTGACTCTGAATCAGACAGATTGGGGTTTGGACCTGACGCAGCTGTACTTGTGAAATTGTCTCTGTCGTCGACTGATCTTTGTACAGCTTTCTGTCTTGCAGCTCTGGTCTGGGGTCTGCGCTGACCAGCACCTTTGGTGCGACTCTGCAGGACAGAGGACACAACAGTCAACAACAGCCACTGCAACACATCAGAAATTCAAAGGTACTTCAAAATGACTGAAACTAAATTTTAAAATAAACCCACTTTCTGTACACTCTGCAGTGTCGTGACCTGGACTGGGGTGTCAAAGGTCACTCCCTCACTGTCTGTCTGAGCCCCTACAGGAGTTGTCACAGGGCTGGGGCTCAGGCTGGAGCTTGACACACCGGAGGAGGAGCTGGGATCCATGCCAGGGAAGACACTGATGGCACCTGGCAAAGTGGGAACAGCACCAGGAAGCATAGCAGCAGGATTGATCTTGAGACTTGCCTGAATGGAAAATAAACAGATACAAACACGGTCAAGACCCAGGCTTCTGATCAGATACTCAGAGAGTACTACACAGCTTCTCTTCCATGGAGTAGTTGAATCACATGAAAAAAGCTCAATGAATGTGAAATGGACCAAGAAAATGGAAAAGTAAAAAAAACAGTGAAATTCATAAAGCGATTTAAGAAAAAAGTCATAATGCAAGCAAAAAGAGAATAATATTTATATTTACTGCCTTAGAAAATAGATTTTCTATTATTTTAGTGTAAAGGCTATAGAAGTTTCAAAGAAAAGGTGAGTTTGGGGAAAAAAAGTCTTTCTTCAGAAGAATTCAGAGTGAAATGTGAAAAAGGAAGAAAAACTGAGATTTAGTTAAAAAAAAAATTACTTGAAGTTTTCCAATCCTTGATGAGGAAGCTTTAGGTTTTACAGGACTTGGTGCAGGTTTCTGTGTGGTTAGATTACAAAAGGATCATCATTTTATCTTTTAAAAAAACCCATCTCTGAACAGACCTTTTTCATATTCTCATGTAACAGATGCACCCGTGAAAAAGAGACAAATGATGTTAACACAGCACTTTGTCAGTGTGAAGACTGAAGAAGAAGAAAAGACCCACCTCAGTCTCTGAGACAGGTTCTGGACTGGCCAGCGGTGCTTTGTCAGCAGGTTTACTTGGCTTTTCTGCAATTTTCTGTAAGACAAAAAAGAGATCAGTCCAAACACTGTGTACATAGCTGGGATTCTGCTTTATAACAATGATTAAAAATATTTTTACTGGAAGAACTTTTGGCTTGGGGGAGCTGAAAAGGTCATCTTCATCGTCTTCTGCAAACAAATTATGTGCTGCTGCCTTTGGTGGGCTCTAAAAAAATAAACAAAGTGAAGTCTTAGACCGTGGGAATATGACAGGAAAATTTGTTTGTTTATAACATAAATCACTGATAAAACCCCCCCAAAAAACTACACTTTGTGTAGAAGAAGTGATTTTTCTCCTAATGCGTGACACAGACAAGAACAAAAGAAACAAATGTGACAACAACACTGACTTCAGCTCTCCCTGAAGTGGCAAAGAGACCGGCGTCGAGGTCATTGTCTTTCTCATGACTGTGGCTGAACAACTCCTCGTCCTGGAGAACACCCGTGCTCTTTGTCTGTGCTGGCTCCACCTCCTCTTTCTCCTCCGCCTCCGCCGCCTCCTCCTCCTCCTCCTCTTCTTCTTCCTGGAAATATTACAAACATTAATGATGCAACTTAATCCATTCCTCACATGCTACACATTCTTATTTGACTACAGATGCAAACCTTGGGTGTTGTTTTGCTGGTGGGTTTACCAGGTGTGAAAATAGAATCATTCCACTCGTCGTCGTCTTCATCTTCAAACAGACCAAAAGCCCCTGATCTAGATTTTTCTTCCTTCTCCTCCATGACAAATGGGGGAGGGCTGGGCTTCAAAGGGAAGTCATCATCTTCTTCTTCTTCTTCATCCTGTATTAGGGTTTTTGTCTGCTTTTCAAGAACATTAATGCCTCCGAAGAGACTAACAGCCCTAGCAGGCTTCTTTTTACTTTCTCCACTTTCTCCCACAGGCATCTCTGGAGACTTTGAAGTATGTGGAGTCAGCTTCTCCTGCTGCAAAGACTGGTTTTCTGTGGGTACATGTTCTACTGTGTCTGATTTAGGCATCTGGGATGAGGAAGACTTGGATGCTGAGGCTAGTGTCTGGAAAAACAAAATAATTTGACTTTAGTCTGGAAAATGACAAACACACACACACAGAAAAAAAAAACTTAATTTCCTGACTCCAAGAATTAAAATATCTATCTATCTATCCATCCATCCATCCATGCACATAGCAAAAACAGAGTACTTTACTCACTTTAGTAGTTGGTAGTGCAGTATTTGTGTTGACATTAAAAAGGGTTCCTTGATCTTCGTCATCTTCATCATCACCACCATTATCTTCAAACAGTAGTGCAACTGGCTGAGGGTTTTTCTGAGTACTAAAACACATAACAATATTATGGGTTAAAAATTATGCATTTGACAGTAAGGTTGTATTTATTCATCATTCATATATCAGGGAATTCAATGCAGTGTCATTAAAAAATGTTTTGCTTCAAATACCTTGATTCTTTTGTTTGTGCAAACAGTTCATTATCATCTTCCTCCTCAAACAGGCTGCTGCTGGGTGTTGTTTTGGTACTAGTGAGACCAGAGGGGGCGCTAGCACTGGCCTTCATTCCTCCTGAGTTGGTCTCTGATGTTTTTGTAGCACCTAACCACTGATCCTGTCGTAAAAAAACAACAAAAACAAACAGGCATTGTATGTATCAGTATCTAATCAGAAAAAAATTAAACAAAAGAGATAGCGTCTTTTGAATGTCATTCACCTCATCATCACTGAAGAGGGAGCTAGAGACTGCACTGCTGGTTTGCATGGGTGAGGTTTTAGATGAACTAGCTTTTGGTTTAGATTTAACCGCAGAAGCAAAGAGATCCTGCAAAAAAGAGCCAGATTATATGAATAAAATGTACTAAAGAAAAGAAAAACAAGCTTCCTTTAATTAAACGCTAATAAAAGAATTTGAAAAGGTATTTGTATCACAGTTTTTACCTCTTCTTCATCGTCATCAAACAAGAACACAGGAGCTTTGTTGGTGTTGCTCTGGTTTGTAGGTTCAGGCTTCGATTGACTTCTTGGGATGGTTGGAAAAGCCTACAAGAAAAATCCACAGAATTATCATATGTATTTACATATATATACTTATATAGTTACATAAACATAACATACATCTATGTAACTATACATATATAGAAGGGACTCATACTTGTGCATCTTCATCATCAGAGAAAAGACCCCTGGTCTGGGGTTTCGGGGATGGTTTTGGAGCAGCTTTCCTAACATCTGGAGAAGCACCGTTCTGAAACAGAAAAGAAAAGAAAAATATAGTAAAAATTATACTCAACTCTGTGTGCAGAATACTACTACACAAGGCTGGACAATATATGGAGTTTTTTCTTCTGAAAACAATACATTTATGTATCTGAAGGAAATGCTGTACTTGATCATAATTTAATTTAGGTGTATTATCATTTGTTAAATGCCCGTTTAGTAGGTAATAAGTTGGTTTTATTTACAAGTGCATTTATTTATATTAAAATCACTCTGTTATTTAGAATATATGGCTTTGCTAATTATTGTTACCATTTTATTGGACAGAAATATCGAAACGTATACTGTATGAGATTAAGGTGAAAAATGACGAGATATGATTTTCCATATAATCCAGTCCAATACTGCTATGACAAATCTATTTTTTCCATGAAAACACTGCAAGAGACAATGATGAATTCAAACCTCCTCAGATTTTTCCGACTCCTCACTGGTCGATTGTCGACGCTTTTTCAGGCCTTCGCTGAGGAGACTTTTAGTTCCAGGTCCAAACATGGAGATGGCCCCAGCTGGCATCTACAATAAACCATGAATTAACAAAATGTTAAACACGACACAAAACACTGAAGTAATACAATTAAATAGTCAACTGATAAAACAAAAAAGTACCTTCTTCTCAGGCGGTTTAACTGGTTCTGCAACAACCTCCTTCTTGACCTGAACTGGAGTTGTTGACTTAAATTTATCACCGAATATATTGCCATCATCCTCATCATCTTCATCAAAGAGGTCAACGGTTGTCTTGGATTTAGGTTTCTCCTTTACAACTACATGATGATCAGAAAAACTGGGATGAAGAACAGACCTGAACGTCAGCTTTGGGCCTTAGGGTAGAAACTTCTACACACTTACCAGATTCAGACTTTTGTAGACTTTTTCCACCAAAGAAGTCGTCGTCCTCATCCTCCTCATCAAAGAGTCCTCCACCACCAACAGCAGTCTTTTTTTCAACTTTTGGAGGAGCGCTGACCTTGGAATTCGGAGTTCCGTTCTCCTTGCTTCTAACAGAATCAGAATCATTCCCTGGACTGAAGAGGCTGTTGGCTGTCAGAGGAGATTTGTGTCAGGACAACAAACCAGAATTTATTTTTACCAAAATTCTATTCTATATCCAGTAATACATTTGAAAATTTCTACCTGGAAATATTGAAACGCCACCTGTTGGAATCTTCTTTGCAGATTTCCTAGGTTCTTTGAGAAAAAAGTTTTTGTTTAGTTTTTATATTTTTAGGAAAATGTGGAAATTAAAATACTTCTAATCATCATCTCGATATCAAACTGTTATAAGACCCTCAGTGACTGTGTTACCTGCTGTTGTGGCTGTGACTTTCACACTTTCTTTTACAGGTTTCTTTTCTTCTGGTACAAAAGGTTTTGGTGCATCATCGAAAAGGTCCCGCTGAATAACGTGGAAAAAAACAGAAATACTTGTGTCTGCATTTCTACATTCAAGTCATCAAGTGGAAGCATCTGGCGTACCTCGTCGTTGTCATCATCAAACAGGCCCTTCCCCCCACTAAAGAGGCGGCTACTTCCTCCAAACGGGGAAAAGTCATCGTCATCATCGTCATCGTCGATCTCATCCATCTTGGGTGGTTTGAACATGTCGTCACTGTCATCTTCAGCTGTTGTGACAACACAAAGAATCTCCATGAAAAAAACACACACACTGAGACTTTGGGATGTTGTGGAAAGATGAACTAAAATATGGCTGGAAATGCACAGGTTACTGATGTGAATCCTACCCTGGGTCTTTGAGGGCTTTGCTTCTTTTCTGCCTTTACTTTTCTTCTTAGATGACAATGCTTTGAAGACATGGGATGGCAGAAAGAAAAACACCCATGAACATGCACATGCAGTGACAGCAGTCATTTATGAACTGCCTACAGAATGACTTTCAAATGCAAAAAAAACCCCAAACTTGTTTACTTCAATCACAGGGACAAAAGAAGTTTGAAGGTGAGATAAAATATGATGTTTCAGGCTGATGGGAATGACTAGGACTTACAGGCACGATCTCCCTCCTGTTTATGAACTGGTTCACCTCTGATCCGAGCTGCCAGCTCATCAGCAAATGATATTGGACCCGAGTTCTGTATACAAAAAAAAAGGATAAACTCTTGTGCATTTTATGGGTGGTAAAATAAAACACATTGTTATTTTGTGAAATTAATCAGAATAAAAGGTGTAAAGCAATTAAATTAAATTAACATTAAAGCATTCATTCATTAACAGAAGGTACACAGTACCTTCGGGTCGTGGTCGTCATCATCCTTGTCTGATTCTCCAAATATGTCCGAATCCTCGTCTTCCTCTTCCTCGTCGTCATCTTCGAAGCTCAACATAGATGATTTCTGAAAAGAAGAATCCAAAATTATGCTCACAAGTCACAAATATAATTATAATCCAAACGTCACCTGACTTCAGTCGTACCTTTTTGAAGATGTTGTGAACCTGGCCTTCTTGAATAAAATCTTCATCCGAATGCTAACGAACATAAAGAGGAAAGTGTTGGCTACGGCTACACTCAAAAACATTGGCAAATATTTACTGAAGATTTTGAAAAAGAAATCTTACTGTGGCTTCTTTGCCGTCGTCACTTTCAATCACGCTGTCTCTGTCACTGTCTACTGACATTTCTGTAATGAGAATCAAACACATTAAGAGAAATTAAACATGGACTGTAATAGATCGTGGACAAGCAAAAGGAAGGAGCGTGATTACACTACCATCACTGGAGAGGTCGCCAAGTCCAACATCATCCTGTTCCATGAACGCCTGGGAACCAATCAGATAGGGAAGTGGTCTGTCCACATAAAGATCCTGTGTAGGAATAAATAACAAACAAATTAAAGACATGCTCGAGATTCATTTCTGTCACATTTGTGTATTCACTGAAGTGAAAAGCTTTAAAGCAGACCTTAGGTTCCAGGATGGCCTCTACTCTGCCCGTGACCTCCTCATCCTCTGAATCCGAGTTCCCTGCCTTGATGTCCAGATGCTCAAACGCCGACTCCAGCACTCGTAGACCGTAATTTACAGCTTCCTGCATCTTAGGGATCAGCTCCGCCTCCTTTTGCTCCCGGGTCTGTCCAACAGAAAAAAACATTGATTGACGGATATGTGTGGAGAAATACAAGTCTTGAGCCACAGAGGAAAAAAATCTCTAATAAAAGCTGTAATAAAAAAGTCAGCCTTTTGTGATATAATTTACAAAATCAGAATAAATAAATGATTCCCCTCGTCATACCCGTTCCGGTTGTTTCTCCACAGCATCAGTTTTAGGCAGTGGTTCTTCGACTTCTTCATCACATACTCTCTGCAAAAAGGAGTCAAAACAACAGTCAGGAAACAAATGTTACCATTCAATTAGCAAATAGTTAATAGGCAGGAACTTTGTTTTTTAAAGAAAATATGATCTTTAAATTTAAAGGTTATAAAAATTAAGGTAGGTATCTGTTGTCATCAGGGAAGCCTCAGAAGAACTCCTCATGATTTGAATTTAATGGCAAAAAAGCAGCTTTCTCACCTGATGACAGTAAAAACTCTTTTGAATACTTTATAATTTTATATAAATATGAATAGTTTATCATTTTTGGTCTTTGCGAACACAATAGGACAGCAGTTTTGGTGGTTACAATTTAAAGTAAATCAGAGGAAAAACCCCAATGGGAAAGAAAGAGGAAGTAAAAGTGAACTGTAAGTGAGTTAAAGCCGAACTAAATGGTACAAACATTCATGCTCTTTATAAGAAGGCCTGAAGTTAAAGAATGCAACTACAGATTCAGAAAAATGTTGTCAGAGTGATAAACGGAATGGAAGTACAAATTACATTTTCTATAAACTGTGTATTGGAGAGCATGAGGAAGTCACTGAACACAGAGTGCAGGCAGCTGTCTGTAGCCTTGGTGTCACGGATGAGGCCATCCAATTGTTTTTCAATCTCATGCGTCTTTGACAGCATTTTGTGAGAGAAGTCTTGCAGAAACAGGAAGAGCTGAAAGAGACAGTATTTGTAACAGTGTCACTTTCGTTACACCAGAGCACAAAACACTGCACAATGTTTTAGCATGAATAAAAACTCACCCCTGAATCTGCTGCCAAGGACCAGCTGGCACTACTCTGCCGCATTTCTTCCAACGTCCAGGGTCTCTCCCATACCCGGGCATCTTTCTCCATGTGTTCACTCTGGCTGGGACCATTTGCTATTCCCCCCGGAAAACCGCTCATCTGCAAGAAAGACAATTGTTTTTTCAATATCTGTTAAAAAAACAACACACATGAAACTCTCAACATCTTTTATCAACGGCATTAACAATTTAAATTGAATGTGAAGTGTTTGAAGAGTAAAACAGTTTGTCTAACACTGTAAAAAGATTAAGGCAACAATATGTAAAGACAGTCAAATGTAAATTGGCAATGGTAAATCATACACAGTGTTAATGATTCAATCTTTAAAACAAAGGAAACTGATGAATGCACTGGAAATTATCTAGCGGGGAAGGAGTCAAGGACATCACAATAGGACCATTCAGGGAAAAACAATGTGATTGAACTCTTGTCCTTTGTTTAGAGGCTTTATTCTCCACCGTTAAAAATGCATGGGAAAAAAAACTTGAGCCAGCTGTGTACTGTGACAAACATCTTGCATATTTCAACCCACTTCTGGAATGTAATAAAGTACTGCCAGAAACCAGAAAGGAATCCAAGCCTGCAATATCAGATTAGGTAAAAGTTACTGTCATTGAAGCACAAGTATTATTAGTGTTCCATATAGGAAGTTATTTATGTTGCAGTGCTCTAGTAGGAGTATTCTCAGAAAATACAAATTGGGTCACTGTATTTAAAAGAGTAACTGGCGTATGGTTTATAAAAATTGAACAAACACCAAATTTACTACAAACGTCAAGTTTGTGTTGACAGAAAAAAAAAACGAGCGCTCACTTAAACTTGACTTGTCGAATGAAGTCTTTATCTGCCCGTACACATGAAATGGCCAGGCTTTGGGACGAAGACACGAATTGTGAATTTTAATGCAACTCTCCTGTTTACTGATGCAGTTTTGTTGTCGCGCACTCGCGACACAAGGTTATTCAGCACACGACGTCCAAAATAATCGCAGAACAACTTGTTGGGTCTATAAGCAATTGTCTGATGTTATTTTTTGTTTCGTTTCACATTAATACAGACTTTCCTTCTGTTTGACTGTTGTGCTAACAGCTTAGCTCGACTCAGCTAACCAACACTGACGTTAGCTTTAGCTGCTGCTAAAAGACAGACAGTAATTACTTTCAAAATTAATACCCTCAGCCATACCTTGAATCAGCTGCAGGTCCACGACGGTCCACTGTCTTCGCGAGCGACGTAAAAACTAAGATCGATTATGCTAAATGTGGCCTTTCCCTCATTGGTCTTCTGACAGGTCAGCCATGTTGTGTCTGCAGACAGTCACCTGACCGCCGGTGCCGAGGCACAGTCAGAGTGGGGCGGAATGGAATAAACCAATGACTTAGAGACTGATCTAATAAGTAAATACATTACAAAAATGTACAAACTAATACATATATTAACAAATAATTTTAAATAACTAATAACGGATATGCTAATTAGGAGAATTAGCCATTGTTTTTGTGAAAAGTTGTCATTACTCACATTTATTTTGATGTTGCCATTGCCTTTCGCAGATGGCAGAATATGCAGGAAGTGTTTTTGAATAGCTCCCCTGCAGAGGGTGCTAAACTTAACGGGGTGGTTGCTATCTGCGAAATAAGGAGTTTTCATTTAAGTTTAAGGTCCAGACATTTTAATATAAACTTTTTGAAATAAAAGCACTATATACATTAATATAATAATTTAAGTAAATTGTATTCTTTATCTGAAGGATTAATTTCTCATCATATTGAGGATAAATTTGCTATAAAAAACGAAAAAATTCTGGACTCACTGTTCAGGACTAATGTAAAATACAACATATATATGCAAACATATATATATCCTTGACATACACACACACAAACACAAGAGTATTTTGAATATATGTATTAATTTTATTTTTTAAATTTGGCAACAGCTAAAAAAATACTTCCATTTCAAAAAAGACATTCTGGACACAAATGTAAAAAATATAGAGCAGAATATAGTATAGTAAAGTTGCAGATTAAAAAGCTTTTTTCACAGTCAAGAAAAATAAAATATTACGAATTTTAGTACCAGTAGTTGAGTTGATTCCTGATACACTAGAACAGAACTGTGTCCATTCATATTATTACAAACTATTTATCTATGCTTCTATTGTCAATAGTCGTCTGTGGAATTATTCATATATTAATATTAACTGTAGACAAGAACAATCACCTGTCTAGTAGCTGCTCTGACTTAGAAAATCTATTATTAAATTAGGAAGGAATTGGACACACCACTGAGGATTTGGGGGTCAGTGAATGCCATATTAATACAAATATATAAATATTGGGACAGATTTACAGCTGTACTTACAGTAACTCAGCAACTTTACAGTAACTCTAACATTTACAAAAAAATACTTTTCAACATTAACTGTGGTCCTAATGCAGCCCATACTGCATCTCTAAACACAAAGCTTATAACATTTGTCTTCTTCTGATCATTTCTTTTCTTGAGACTCTTCCTCCTTGTGTACTTTGAGTCATAGACCCCCGTGTTGTGCTCCTCTTGGTGAGCGTGGTTGCCAGTAATCATACAGTTTATCCTGGGGTACAAGAAAAGTAAGAGAGAGCAATGTAAACAAAATTCCAGGTTCTGTTTGTATGACATCTGAATGAATATTAAGAGAGGAACATGTGGATCTGTGGGACAAAATCATAAACAGAAAGAAAAAAATAATATTTTTAGGGGTTTGTGTGTCTACTGTACATGAAGGGGCCTGGTCTTCTGAAGCACCATCTGCCACCTGATGTCGATTCTGGCCACTAGATCCTTCACCTTAAAAAGAAGAGGAGAGATGACGTAATGTAAATCTTTGAAGTACAAAAAATGGTATTTTTGTCTTGTGGTTTCCAAAGTAGGGGGCAACCAATGATAAACTAAATAAGTTTTAATGGAGATTTGAAAACATTTTTGAATGTGTTGACTTGGGGTGAGGGGCTCAACAATGGTCCTATCTACCAAGAAAATTTACTTGTATAGCTTAAGTGGACTTTATCATTTGCTCCATAAGGTCTTATTTATGTCAAATACTTTGTGGAGTCTGAAAAATGAAATAGTGCTTAAAAATGAACAGTGCTTAAAATTATTTTTATGGGTTACAGCTGCAAGGAAAATAAGCCTTGCAATGCAATCATAAATGTATAATCTTTTCCCCTCACTTTGCTCCGATAGAGACATTTCTCACTCTCCCTGATGTCACATTTCACACAGCTGTCCAACTTAGAGCACAGGCTGTGTAGATGCTCCTGGGAACAACAGATAAAAAGAGAACTTGAAATGAAAACAAATATTCACTTTCTCAAACAACTCAAGAAATTAGACCAGATTGCACCTTCTGTTGAGCTGGAAATGCATAAAAGTTGGAGGCCTCATTTGTTAGTGTCAGAAGGCTGTAGCAGAGGTAGAAGGACTGAAAAAGACAAATGATATTAAGTAACAGCCAGGTTAATGTCGTATTCATCCAGAGTAGTCTGTGACATGGCTATGACACCTTTAATGTTGCTGAAAATGAAAGTCTAATTCTCTTTATTTGCTTTAAATATGTGACTCGTCTGCAACTTTATACATACTGTAGATAATGTGGAAGAGGCAATGATACATTAAGATAGTTAAACATGACCATATTGTATCCACCGTGCATGTGTCCTCACCTGTTGGTCTAAGGAGGACATGTCCTCCTTTGTATCGTCCTGATTACTGCTGGAGGAGCTCAACATTCCTTTCAGAATGGTGGAGGGTCGCATAAAGGGCAAGTATTGCTTAAGCAAAGAGAGCTGCAAAATCAAGACACAAGGTAAATTAAAATAAAGCCACTACAGATTTCATATATTTCTAAATTAAAACAGAATTTATAGACACATAACTAGACCATGCAGCCAAAAGAGTGTTTGCACTTTTAAGATTTATGGGGATTTTAAGATTTACCTGAAACTCTGTTCCAGTAGGTTTGTAAGTGCATTTTCCATTGATAAGCTTTGAGATCATAGACAGACTTAGGTGCTGGCGCAATTCCCTGGAAACATGAAAAAAAATTTACTTGATTTGATTTAAAGCAGGTATTATTAAGATAATTTTGTGTTCAGCTATGTGATTTAATATGAGTAAATGCAGTAACACTTACTTTCCACGTTTACTGTTAGGAAGCTGTTGAACTAACAGGCACATGTTGTGATGGTCGTCTGTCAGATCAGTAAGAGCTGAACACATTTTCGGCAGCTTACAAGAAATGAATGAATTGATAATAAAACATTTTAACAGCAGAAGTAAAACAGGTATAATTTAGAGATTAATCATGAATCACTATGTTAACAGACACATGTTATGGACATACCATAGCTTCCCAGTCCCTAATGTTGTTGATGAGTTTATACTGCAGAGGGAAGAGCTCCACACTGGAGTGCAGGATCAGTTGAGTGTCCAGGCTCACTTTCCCCAACACAGTCAGCAGCAGCAACAGCTCATCATCACTGTAGGCCCGTGGACAGAGGCCCATACACACAGAAAGATACTGAAGAAAAGAAAATCACAAAATCATGTGATCCATAGCAGGTATATTATTTAATTTATACCTTTCCAGTAGGTGGCCACAGGGGAAACCCATGTGTAGATAAAGAATTATTGGTTTATAAGGTTTTCCTACCTTTAGGATGTTGTCGTAGTTATGTTCAGAAAAGGTGTTCTGTTCATTTTCATGAGAAGGATTTTCATTTTTAATACACATGTCTTCCCTGAAGAAAAACACAGAAATTCATAAGCTTTAACACAGGAATTATTCTGTTATAGAACAGTTTTTATTTTATTTTAAACCAAAGTACTTCATAAAAACATAGGGCAACAGTTTGATTTCTTTTAAATCTTTAAAATTACATGAACAAAAACTCTACCACAGTAGACTACTAATACATGAAGGGAATCCAATTTGTAAAATTATACAACTTACAGCAAATCAGCTTCTGTAAATGAAGGCTGCAAATTTTCAAAAGGGAACAGAGAAACAAAGGAAGCTCCCATGTTCATCAGAATCAGTGTCACATCAGCCAAACTAGGAACCCACACTTTAAACTGCTGGTTTCCATGTTCCACTGAAAATGAGACACATAGAAACTATTGCTGAAATGGCAAAAAAATAAATAAATAAATAAATAAAGCATTAAAATAAATCCAGACCAATTTGAGCGGCAGCAGTGCAGGCGATGTCACTCAGAGCCTGAAGGATCTTCTCAGAGATCAACCTCTCGGGGTGGACTGACATCATCTGACAGCACCAACAAAGAGTTTGTGTCAACTCACAGAACAAGTATCAATATTCATATCATACTGATGTATGGAGTCTACCTTGAAGAGAAAAAGGCTGACTTGGGTTGGACAGGGTGAGTGACAGTCATAAGCTTCTTGAAACAACCCGATAATCACATGTGATCTGAACTGAGCAGGACTGGACCTGTCGGAGGACAGAGATTGTGAGGAAAAGAAAGAAGTCTCAAATCAATAAGTAGTGTTAGAAATACATGGAGTTTTACCTGCCTTTCACTGATGCTATTGTCCATTAGGCATTATACCCTGGTGGGGCAAACTTTATTTCTATAGAATGTCATTATTAAGCCTACATAATGCTCAACATTAAGTGCACATTTGGAGCCCTTCATACATCATCTTAGTCATAAACAGCATAATCATTCATAAAAAAGGAAGATGAGCAGGAAAATGTGGAGGAGAAAAAATAGAGGAGTTGGAGAGGGAAAAGATGAAAAACACCAACAACAAGGAAAATACTACAAACCTTAGTAGTTCTGCTGTTTTACCTCTGGTATAGTTCACTCACCAAAGAAGTGTTTTCTGTGCTGCCCCCTGTGGCCTAAGGATGCATTGCCTCAGCTGTAGTGTATCTGGGTTGAAAATGCAACCACATTTTTCCAGATTGAAAACTGCATCTCCCGGAGGAACTTCTCTGATGGCGGTGGACATCAGCGTGTAGTGCTGCAAAAACTCCCTGGTGAACACATAAAATGACAATGAATGCAAGTTTAAGTTCACTGCTTCTCCAGGATGTCACACATGCTACAGGCGGTCTTACTGTTGCTCAGTGGTGATGGGCTGCTCCTCCTCCTGAGCTTCCTCATATTCAGCTATTCTTAACAGGTCATCTCTACACGTAGATAGAAACTGCTCCTCCACTTCTTTGGTCCTGTTTAAAAAAAAAGTTAATTCCTCAAATGGTCAGCTCCAGTATTTCCAAATCAAATGAGAGTAGTCGTACCTTTTATTGGTGGCAAACTCCCGCACAATCTGGTCGATGTTGTTCTTGTACGAAGCTGGTTTAGCAAAAGACGAGGACGACTGCAACAAGAAACATTTTTTAACCAACTATTCTAAGAGGTCATAGTTGTACATTCATTAAGCAGTGATGGCCCACCACGTAATTATTGCTGTCAGCAACTGCTTTAGCTCTGTTACTAATTGTCACTGCACCGTACATTATGAACACGCAGTGTTTTTCGACCTTAAGGGTGCGACTCCATATGGGGTCACCTGGAATTCAAGTGGGGTTGCCTGAAATGTCTAGTAATTGATTTTTTTTTTAAATATTTAAGATGAAAAATATTTTTTTCAACTAATTATTATTCTGCACTATAATACTTTCAAATCTTCACTGTGGCCAGTCAAGGATCCTACAGTAACTCTTTATTTCATAATTCATTGTTTGATCACATTTTCAGCCTTGCTGGTCTCACTGTACATACAGTATGATTAGGGAAAATAAAATGTTACTTTATGTGGTAATCTGGCTACTTGGTATTTGCAACACAGTATAACAAATATGTAAATATTCTAAAAAAAAATGGAATGACAAGCCAAAAAGATTAGGGAACTTACAGTTTTTAACTGCCTACGGGTCCGAGGTCTGTGGTTTCCAGGTGTACTGGGCTCTGAGAAGGCTCCTTTCTCTGGGGTATCTGGAGGTTTGGCTGCACGCTCCATTATCTCCTGCAGTGAGACCAGTTGCTCCTCTTCACTGCTGTGGGAGCTTTGAGTTGAATCCAAATCTAGCGCCAAACTCCAATCCAGGTTTATGTCCATATCTATGGAATCATCTTCTTCACTCTGTGTATTCTTCACTACTGAAGAGCCATGGGTTTGCTGTGATGTGACAGCATCAGTGTCCAAGGTGACATTGTTAGAAACAAGAGCCGTTAGTTTTTCACATCCTCCATGATGCTGTCCTGTTGCAGTAGTGACAGGTGCATTTTTGACTTCTTTGAGATCAGAGCGGAATGCAATGTCCTCAGGTTTTATCCGCACTACAGAGACAGTGGGTACACGTGAAACAGAGACTTTGGCGTCCTTCGACCTGGTAGAAACCTTGACTGTGCAGTTCTGTGTTTTATCACATGAGGATCCAGGGGCTGAAACACTGGATTTAATTTCAGTGCTTTTCTCTGGGATAGAGGATTTAACTGTTTTTTCATCCATGTTAGATTTTGAAATCTTATAGCTGTGAGTCACGGGATCAGGGGTGAAGAGATCCATGAGGTCGTTAGGTAATACACTAGATCTATGTCGCCGGGCAGTTTTGGTTTGTTCGACCCGAGAACCAGAATTAATTTTTGAGTCAGATTTCGAAGCACTACTCACAGTCTTACTTCTTTGAGTTGTTGCTGATGAAACTGAGGGTTTACTGACATTAACTTTATGGCATAATAAAGTGCTAACTTCTGTGCGTTGGTCATTTTTGTCTACTGACTTTTCCAACCTTTCCTCAGGAGACACTGACGGTGACAATAACCTCACAACATCACTGCGAGATAATCTGACATGTAACTGTTTTATGAAAGGTACAGGCGTTGACCTGGTGGGCTTATACCTGCATGACTGTCTCAAAGATTTTAACTGGTGAATGTCTTTTTTGTTTGACTGTTTTAAAGTTGAGGAATCCTTGGATGCTGGCACTGGTGACGCACCCAGTGGTTCTTCACAGTCATCAGACTCCCTTCGTCGCTTGTGAGACGAGCCATTCAAGATCTCTGCGGCAAAGAATTAAATGACATGTTTGTTATTAAGATTACCATTAACATAGTATCTTATCAGGATAATTAATAAAAACAGTTTAAATGCAAATTTTCATTTTTAATACTTGAAAAAGGTGTCACACATTCAGTTGCATATATAATGGTTGGGTGAGAAATTCAAATTAGAAAACAAAATACCTGATTTTAGCTTTGCACTTGAAGATGTTGGTTTCTTGCGATGGTGCTAATAAAAAAAACAAACACTTTGTCACGTCATTGAAGGCAGTTTCTTTTGTGAATTTGTTGTAGTAATTTAACCATTTCTATTCATGTCGTAAGCCATAACAGAGGAGAAAAATACAAAAACAAGTAGCATTCATTATTTCAGTGAACAATCACATTTCAAAAAAATAATTAAAAAAATAAATCAATTAATATTATTGATAGAATACAATTTGTGTGTTTTTCTTAATGTCTTGCTTAAAATAACACCACATCCTTCACAGGTAATGAGCTTTACCTGGCCAGAGTCTCCTGGTCTGTGAATGGGGGTTAAAGATCTGCTGCCAGAGCAGTTGGTACTTGGAGAAAGCTTTTGGCAATGTGAAGACAAAGTTGGACTGTGAGGCTCTGAGACCCTCATCTTTAAGAGACAATGTTAAAAAAAAAGTCAATTAAATGTGACATAAAGATATTAGTTTAACAAGATACTTTTAAACACAACAAAGAACCAGATAACAATACCTTGTTGGAGCTGCGATGTTTTTCAGTTTCATTCTTACTCTTTGAAGAAGACATAGTGTCCTTGTGTTTGTGGACTTTATCTCTCCTGGTGTTGAAGGATGGTGTGTAGTTGCTTACATCCCTCATGAACTGAGTGGGTTTTTGGTGAAGGTTAGCAGTTGGAGTTGGAGATTGCGGCCCGCTCTCCGAGCAATCTGAGTCTGAGTGGATAGGTTGAGCACTAAATGAAGGCGGTATGGAGGACTGCTGTCGTGGACACAGTCTGTATTTCACGGGATTGGACCTATTCGTTGATGTTGCATTAAGGGTTGGACTGCCTGATGACTTGACTAATAATGAGGAATGAGCAGAGCGCCTACAAAGGCCCTCTTTGCTCCCACCGTAGGTGTCTGGGCTATGACAGGGTAACTTTTTCCTAGGTGGTGGATGAGACAGTTCGTTGATCTCAGGTGGTCTCATTGAAGTCTCCTGGTGAAGAAACAGAACCTTCCCTGATGGACAGAAACGAGGAGATGGACACGGTTTATCCTCAATTCAAATTTTTATAGTGGCAAAATGTGAGCTACCATGTAAAATCAAATGTAGATGTAGAAGTGTGGCAACCTTTAACTTCTCTTGTTGGAGACATATGCCCTGAAAATGACCT